AAGCTGATATTACTAGGATTTTGTTTTTAAAAGGGAACACACTTTCCAATACAGGTATACAAAAAATCAGCTATATGGTTGTGTGCACCTGTACGGTTGCCCCCAAAACAGCTCTCTTCAAGTATAAAGATTTAGTGGATATTAGAGTTTGTCTCTCTTATCGGTTACTGTCAACTTGTTAATATTGTAGTCAGGCATCTTCTAGACAAATTTTGTGGATTGTTGATGTTGGATCTTGCTAAAATTTGAAGCTGAATTATTTTGAAGCATCGCCAGTTGATTTGTACAAAGTCTACCATTTTGACTTACATGTATACGCAGTGTCTGTAAAACCTGCTGTTGGAGTGAATAGAAACCACCTCATTCATGCTACAGCGAGGACTTAATCCTGTGAACACACAATGGCAAGGGGAAGGATAAGCCCCCTTCTTTACACTGCCCTCCTATTGACCCTGCTACACTGTGAATGTAGCTACACCACAGGCAATCCTAGTGTGATTAACTACAACATCAAATCAGAGCCATGTACAAGTATGTGCAACTTCGACACGAAGAAGTTCGCAGGAGCCCGCATAAGGTATTACAATAACTCTTGTGCAACTTTTCAAACTATTCTTATGACCTGTGGAGATGTTCATCCCAACCCGGGACCTTCCCTTGTCCAGCAGGAGAGTGGGTATGATGTGATGCAGGTACATAGGAAGATATATGATACCAACACCCTTCACACACTTAATCCCATTTCTGGTAACCAAAACCTTCCAAGACTTGACAAGGACGTCTGGAACACCATTCATGACTTGGGAATATCAAAGAAACGGAAAACACACAGGGGAAGAAAGCAAAGAAAGACCTATGACATCCCTGTCATCATCACAAATAGGACAAAGCAGCAACAGCTTAACAATACCCGAATTAGAAAGATTGATAAATCAGTGCTCAGGGATACATGTCGACCCACCACCAGGTCGTGTCTACCAGCTGTGATGCTCTTTAATGCCCGCTCTTTAGCCAACAAGTTTGGTGAGTTTGAAGCCACTCTTTGTTCAATGCAAAATGTTCCCCACCTCATTGCTATTACAGAAACATGGTTTTCCCAGGACAACCCGGCTTCTGCATATCAACTTTCATCATTTAAACAGTTCCACAAAGATCGTAACGAACGAATAGGTGGTGGAGTTCTTCTCTATGTGGACAAGAATATAAACTGTTATGAAATCTTCAAAGAACATGTACCTGAACATCTGGAGGTCGTGTGGGTTCGTCTACGATCATCTACTACTATCCGCCTATCAAGAGATATATATGTTTGTGTACTCTACTCCCCACCTCGGTCTCCACATAAAGACCAACTGAGTGATCACATCATAATGATGATTGATAGGGCTCGAACCCTGTCGGAGAATGCATCTTTCATAATCCTTGGTGATTTCAATGACCTTCCTACAGATCATTTGGAACAGCACACCCTCTTGTCCCAAGTAGTAAAAGAACCGACCAGGGGTACATCCATCCTGGACAAATTATTGACAGATCTCGGAGATTGTTATGAAGAGCCTGTCATTTCAGCACCCATTGCTTTAAGTGACCACTCTGTTATTACTTACTTTCCTCTGCTCCTTATTCCACCACGTAGCACTACAAAAATATTCTTCCGACCATTTCGTGATTCCTCCATCCGCGCCTTTGGGCAATGGATCACGCAGATGGACTGGTCAGAATATAAGGAATCCACTGATGGAAACAAAATGACTGCAAATCTTCACCAACTTCTAGACACAAAATATCGGCAATACTTTGATCTTATCACAGTCAAACGACGTCCCAACGATAAACCATGGATGAATGATGCCATCCGCCGGGCCATTACTCAGCGCAATATCAGCTATACGCGAGGTGATGACTCATTTCGTAGCGTAAGAAATAAGGTACAAAGAGAAATCAGCTCTGCCAAGAAAAGTCTCTATAGCAGGAAAGTGGAACATCTGAAACACAGTGAACCTGGGAAATGGCACCAGCAAATTCGCCACCTAGCAGGACTTAAGAAACAGTCTCTCAGCTTTCCAGCCGACAAATCCGATTTGGAGATTGCGAATGAGATAAACGCTCATTTTAGCCGGATTTGCTCGGCCCTTCCATCTCTCGACCTGGCTTCATTGCCGGATTACCTCCCTGCGCCGACACCACCTCCAATCATCGAGCGACAAAAGGTCTTTGAATGCCTACAAAAAGTCAATGTCTCCAAGGCTGGTCACCCGAACGACTGCCCAACACGCCTCATCAAGGAATTTGCGTACGAGCTGTCTGAGCCGCTCACCCACATTTTCAACTGCTGTTTAAAAAATGGATGTTTCCCACATATCTGGAAAAATGCATCAGTGTGTCCAGTGCCTAAGGTCCGGCCTGCAACGACACCTGACCAACTGAGGCCCATTTCTATCACGTCAGTATTAGCACGAGTGTTTGAGGGATTCCTTGCCCGTTGGATTATTGAAGATGTGCACCATGCTATTGATCCCCAACAGTTTGGGAACATGCCCGGAACATCAATTTGCCATTACTTAATCAGTCTCTTGGATAATGCTCATCGGGGAATTGACCGACCTGGGAAGTATGTTAACTTATGCATGATCGATTTCAGTAAAGCTTTCGATCATATCAACCATGTTACAGCAATCAGAAAAATGATTGACATAGGAGTTGACCGCTCCATTCTCCCGACTATCTGTAGTTTCCTGACGCAAAGAACGCAAACTGTTCGTTATCGCGGGGTAACATCAAATCTTTCCCACCTCACTTGTGGTGTTCCTCAGGGAACTAAACTAGGACCCATTATTTTCCTGATAATGGTTAATGATGCCGCGTTGTCTACAGAAAACCGCTGGAAATATGTTGATGATCTAAGCCTTCTAGAGGTTGTCAACAAATCGGACCCTCCGCAGTTACAAACACACATTGATTATCTTGTTGATTGGTGTGAAATAAACGACATGAGGCCCAATCCAACGAAGTGCAAAACCATGCTGATCTCATTCTTGCGTAATGCCCCACCTGCCCCCCATTTGGAGATCAATGGTAATCAGCTTGAAGTGGTATCTTATATGAAATTACTTGGTATAACAATCCAAGATAATCTTAAATGGGACCTACACATCAAAACCATCGTCAAAAACGCATCACGCAAACTATATGTACTGAGTAAACTGAAAAGGAACGGTGTCAACACTCGGGACTTGGTATTGATATACATGATGTACATTCGTCCGTGTCTTGAATTTGGTGTACCCGTTTGGTCATCTAGTTTAACTGTTGTCCAAGTAAACAGCATTGAGCGGCTGCAGAGGAGAGCATTGAGTATTATCACTGGTACATTTCCCGACACAATGTCTTATGCTCAACTTCTGCAGTCGCTGAGTGTTGTCAGACTGTCTGAACGACGCTCTGTTCTTTGCGAAAAGTTTGCTAAGTCCCTTCTGATCTCAGACCGCCACCGCCATCTTTTACCTGAAACCAGACAAACTATCTCACGACGCACTCTCCGCAACTCTCTCCAGCTCAATACCCCCAAAATGAGAACAGAACGTTACAGGCAGTCTCCCATTCCCCACTTCACACGAATCCTGAATTCAAATCTATAGATATTTTCACTCAATATTATGACCATATGTGACCAAGATGTAATTAATTAATTTCTTGTCATGCCAATTAATCAGATTAAATCAAATTTCATACTACCTGTAAAATGATAACACTATACTCTGTAAGTAAACATAAATTGTATATTTTGAGTATCATATCTCTCGGATAATCATCTATATATAAATATACTTTTAAAGAAATGTTAACTAGGTTTAAAAAAGACTACTTATTAATTTGAAAGTGTATTACAAAATTGCATATGACATTTAGAAAACGGTAACAACTTATTTTACTTTTTAAACGTTTTAATTGCACAATTAGAACATGTATTATTTCACGATTGTTTGAAATTAGTTGTTTAGTTCATTATAATCAGTAATTAATATAAAAAAAAGATTGCCAAAAGTATTGATTTCTTTATTCTTGTATGTATTTATAATTTGTAAACTGAATTGTATGAGTCTCCGGACTTTTTATTCAGTATGTTTTTATTTACAATAAAACCTGAATTGAAAAAAATCACAATTAAGGGAGCAATTTTTTTTTTTTTGTTGCCATGTATGCTTATCAGATGCCTTTCGAGTGTGAAGGGGGGGGGCATAAAGGCTGGTTTTGCTCCCCCCTCCCCACATCTTCCACTGTACGAGCACATTTAGTTACATGTCCAAGCATTTCCAAGTCAACTGCTCTCAGTACATTACCATTGCATCTCTTTATTACTGCAGGGCACCACAGCCACATTTTTGTATTGGGGTCTGGATTTAACTATTTCGAGTCTGTGTGCATGAGCCCTATGTATACATTTTGACATTTGGGGGTCCAGACCTACACTTTGGATACTCATATGTCCCTGGCACCTGTTGGTATTGAGCCCTGATTCATATGTTTTTTTTTCTCTATTAAAGGTAAAGACCAGTTATGGTCATGCGATTGCATTGTGAAAGAAACGTTGTGGAATCGATCAGAAAAGGTTGATCATCTAGCATCTAGCATCTGCAAGGTTCTGGAATCATCAAAATGATAAGAAATTTGGCCCAATTTTCGTAAAGTTACATACACTATACACAGAAAGATGTATATGGGACTACCCTATATCTCTCACAGACCATGAGAGAAACAAATTTACCAAATATATGAATTAGTAGGCGGTTTCCCGGCAAATTTGTTATCATCATGTATTAGTCAAAACATATTCTTTCACATGATTGGTAATGAGAGCTTCCATTTCATTTTTTTAAATTGGGGCATTTCCAATACTGGTCTTTACCTTTAAATGTTTGTAACGGGAGAATTTATCTCTCAGATTTTGTTGAGACGTTCTGAATTTTTTACCATGAAATATGTTAATTTCTTCCACATAGGTTGGTCCGCTACCATGGTTAGGCCCACAGACAGATGATGCCATGAAAGGTCTGTGTAAGAATGGCAAGAAGAACATGCTACTTGTTCCTATCGCCTTTGTCAATGACCACATAGAGACCTTGCATGAGCTAGACCTGGAATACGCCACCGAGCTTGCTGAAGAGGTAAGGGAACTTAATTTTTGTATTTACTCCAATTTATTTACAGGTTGAATTTTTACCGCTAGGTATTCTATAGTATTTAAATCAAAATATGAAATTTTCCTGTAGCTACATTCCAGATACTCACTGCCTCTCAATTTCCATGTGATTACACACCATCGTGGAAGATTTGGGTTTTTTGAAATCACAAAACATGATATATTGTTGATACTTGCTGTTACCATCAGAAGAAGTCTATGGGCAGATATCAGGTGAAAGAGATCCCAAATGTAGCTCACAGTCACTAAAAATCAATTGATGTTGAGCCAGTTGCAGATTTAGGATTATTTACTGGAGTGGGGGCACAAAATGAAATATATTCACCTTTTGTAGATCTATTTTATCTGAAGGAAAGGTACTAATTTGTCTCCAATGAGTAAATTTAAGCCTATTTTGCAGCTTGTTTGAAGATAGGAAACTTAAACAAAGGGGGAGGGGCATGTTATGGTATCTCTTTATTCCCCCTCCCCTCCCATTCCACCTCTCCAGGTTGATTTAAGTAGGTTATGGCTTAGTTATACTGTACATGCAGTGTCCTTGCCCTTTTTTGTAGTTCAAATGCATATTACATGGTATTAACTACCACCTCTCATTCAACTTTAATCAAATACTCATTATCAGAGTTCTTTATGACAGGAAAATATAAAAATAATTAAAAAGCATTATAATGCAAATGTGTACTTTACCAGGTCAATTGCACTGGAATTCTAGCCATCGTATAGGTGGTCTGCTACATTCCCAATGGCTTTCAAGGCCTCCATTTGAATATATCCATCTAAAGAAAAGATTGAAGTGGAGTTAGATGCATTCATTTGGATGTGCTCATATAAAATATATTAGTCTGTTGCAATTCATCAGACTAATTCATATCGCTCCTTCCTGCACGTCATTGTGATGAAAAGAATTTGAAATGAAATTACCAGGCTTGGTGTGATCATAAGAATTTGACCTTCCTATTTGTGCTTATAATCCATTCCCCGTGTCCCAGGGTCCACTACCGATACAGTAGACACTCGTTATGATGAGGGCGTTGGGACCATGAATATTACTATCTTGTAGTTGGGCCCCGTATTTAACACAAAGCTTAGCAATCGATCATACATGTACGATTGATTTTTTTATTAATCGCATTGATCACTAAGTGCAATCAGTTGCAGAAGTCAGTTGTCCGATTAATTGCTAAGCTCTGTGTTACGGAGCCCAGGTATCTTGTTATATCATGGTTTAAAAAAAAGAGCTGGGACCAGCAAAAATAACTTGCTAATGTTATATCAAGTATCTTGTCATATCAGCGCTCTTTATAACACACTTTCACTGTTCTAAATGAATTATTACAATTGTAAGTGAGTGTAACTTTAAATCATGAAAGATATCTTATGTACGCACGTAGGACATTTTCATTTTGAGTCCAGTCTCAGTGGATGGATTATGGAGGGTCCATATAATGTGTGAAAGTACTTGTTAGGTTTCATCAAATGAAGGCTAGTCTATAATGATGATTCTAGCCTTGTTGTGTATCAAAATTGTTAATAAAAATACAATAGTTTCATCTATGCGCAGTTGCATGATGCACTGATCTAGAAAACAGTTTGTCATTAGAACTGAAAAACCTCAATGTAACTGCACAAATGCATTCTATAAAACAGAAACATTTGACAAGGTGTAACAGATGACACAAAATTATTGGACTGTGTCTCTATTTTGCCCTACCATTAAGAATTCAAAAGAAAGAAAGAGTAATGAGGCTTTTTCTTTTCAATAGTGTACAATTTTTTTTTTTTTTTGAGGGAGGGGGGGGGGGAGGGTAGTGACAAGTAAGCTATTATTATGAATAGATATCATTCCATATGATTGCTTTTACATATTTTATAAAACACATCATGATAAAGTCAATCACTACTGACAAGTTAGACCCTGGGTAATTCTGGTAGGATACAAGTCACAAGCTCAATCAAAATTGTTAGCTAGTAATGGAATTACATTCAAAATACATGGATGGATCAAACTGGATTTGCCTTTACCATGTAGATGAAAGAGATCACCTAATGACCCTAATGGCAGAGGAGAGCTCGCAAAAAAGCCGAAGAAGTCTCAATAATTCATTTATTTTTTAAAATTATTTTCCAATAAAGATTGTCAACTACAATGGGAGCATGAATCTTTTACAGCATAAATCTTTCACAGGATAAATATTCAGCAGTTCATTGACGTCTTTGTTGTTCATATGCATGAATTATACATTTCATAAAGCCCACCACATCCGCGAAAAGCATGTGGCAGCATTAAACAATGAGATATTGATCTAGATTACTACTTTAATGACTGAGTGCCGCACAATCTAGAGTTAGTCTAGAGCTAAAAGCAAATATACATTTTAAATGTTTTTAGGGTATTTATTCAACAGTTGATAAATGCAGACATAAGTTTGAGGCATGCTTTAAACAGTGGTCTGATTAAGATTGAGACAGGTTTTACAAAAAATTGAAACAGATTCCTATAAAGATTTGAGACAAGTTATGCGCTGCAAAATTTTCAGACCGAATTTTACCGACAGGATCAGACAGGAACTCAGAAGTAATGTGATTTTTTGTTGTTGAATGAACAATAAATAGCCATTACTTAGTTGATTTTCCCTACACAATGTTCATCTTTGAATTTTCGGATAAAAATTTGCTCATTTCGAAAATTACAATTTACAAAATGGAGAAAAGGTGGCATTACACATTAGAGTAATGAAGATACATGTACATGAGCACTTCAGGCATTTAAATCCCTCCTGTGTTCGAAAATGAGCGGAGAGATAATGCAGATGAAATCTATGTTTAACAGCAACTTTCTTCTTTAATTAAAGGTACTTGTTATTGAACATCTTGAAATGAAAAGGAAAATGTTAGAATCGTGCTCAATCTATCTTCACAAAGAGTCCGTTTGCCACTCTCGACACAGGTGTAGTAAATAGGTATTCGGTAGGAAGAAATTACTTGAATACTTGTGCGCCTTATCATGATAACCATGCTAAAGCTGAGGATATAATTTGATTGCTGGGCCCTCAGGGAGAACAGTATTGATACTGATGAGTTTTTCTTTGATTTCTATATCCATTCAACAAATTTTACATGATTCAACCACATGCCTGTCAATGCCTTCCCCAGCAAACACAAAGGAATATATCGGCAAAATTAACAACGCATTATGAACAATTTTGAATGAAACCATTCATATGATGTGATCAGCATTATAACGTCATAGAAGTGTCTAATTGGCAATTGTCCAAGCCCATTTTAGGGTTGCCATGGACGTAATGATCAGGGGTGAATGGCATAAAGTTGTCAGGAAGATACTAATTGCCTTGATTAGGATACATGCTTGTTTCCCGGCTCAAATCGACCAAGTTTATTGCTGTATTCGGGAGTGAGAGTGCGAGTGAAGCGAGGAAGAATACATGTGATTTTTTTTTCTCACATCTATTGTATTTTGAGGTAGACAATATGTTCATCATTGCAGAGATCTAGTTCTTTTAGATGGATGTGAGAACGAAAGGAAAAAAAAGTCCAATGATTTAAGGGATAGCTACATTTACATGGAAGTTTGAACGCACAATTTTAATGTAAAATTTCACACATTATTAAAACTACTAACCCATTTTTATTGTTTTCTTTCAGAATTAGTGATCTTGCATATTTGTATTCCTTTTTTTGTTTGCCTGATTGTAGTTATGTTTGAACTTGGTATTTTTTATTTTGGTTTAACTTTCACAATATTGACAAATTTGTGTCTCTTACTTTAAAATTAATTCCTGAATTATTAACTGGCTTCAGAGTGATTCAGTGTTTTTTTTTTAATTTTTACTCTCATTTCTTAGGCAACATTTAAACGTATGCTACATATAATTACCAAAAGAAATACCCATTCCTTGGTATAAAACAACCATTACAAATGCATATATTTGTTGGTGTTGCCTGAATTGTCTAATTTATTAATTACCATTGGCAATATCTTTCAAATTCAATTTCTTTTATATATTTGTTTTAATAAAAATTATAAGTTATTCATAATTGTGTCAAGTTATTTATAATTGTGTCAAATTATTCATATTTAATTTGTTTTGTATGTGAAGAATCGTAAAGAGTTTTTTTTGTTATCCCTGTTTAAATTGTATTAGCTGGAAGCAAGGATAGGAAGGCTTGTCTAATTGTCCCCTTCATCAAATATTCCTGTTTTGCTTTTCTATGCAGTGTGGTGCAGAGCATGTGAGAAGAGCACCATCTTTAAATGATAGTCCTATCTTCATTGAGGTAAGATTTTATGTCCTAGTCAAATGTGTGATTGAACATAATTTTTATCACAGACTTTTCTGTCTATTTACATATGTTGTCTGGGAACTTCGTAAAGGGGCATTTTTAATATATATATATATATATATATATATATATATGTACACACATATGAATGAAGTTGAGTTATCAAATCTTGCATTAGTTGTCTCTGTAGGATCGATTTCAACAAAGATTACAATTCCTGTGGTACTAGTTGCACATCATTTCAACCTGCCCAGCGTGCCCAGAAATATTTGTAGTATTGTGGATAGGCCAAATTGAAGAAAAAAAACTCATATCCAAATGACAACAACATTTATGACATTTGGGTGGCTTTACCGCCCACTCAACTTTCTCTCAACCCTTTTTGATGACTGCTATTTATTTGCCTGCAGGCCATGGCTCATCTTGTGAGTGATCATCTCAAGTCCGGGCAGGTGTGTTCCAGACAGCTCTCCTTACGTTGCCCCATGTGTGTCAACGAAGTCTGCGGCAAGACCAAGCAGTTCTTTGCTTCCCAGAAGCTATGAGCAATGTGAAAGGAGCTATGAACAACGTGAAAGGAGCTATAAACAACGTGAAAGGAGCTATGAGCAACGTGAAAGGAGCTATGAGCAACGTGAAATGATTGCTCTTACTCTCATGTAGGGATTTAGCCAAAGATTGTATGTAGCTTAGGATTTGGGGGATGAGGTGTGCGGGGGCTCGATCGTCAACCGCTTTGAGGTCAGCTGGGCAGGAGTGACAGAGAGGTATAGGGGATGAGGAGGGATCTGTTTCCTTCCGTGTGCCCCGATTGGAACGAGCACAACTATATTTCTTTTGACATTGGATTGTAGGAGAAAAAGAAATGAATGTGTACTGTGTTAACAATATCAAGAGTATTTTGAAGCAAGTGAATCATGTCCTCGCTACAAAGTAGCCAGAGGCATGATCATTTGGGTTGTCGGTTCCTTTCATCCATGGTGATTTATTCTTCCTTGGTCAATGAAATCACATGTGAACTATTGAAATGAATTTAACCAAACAAGCTTTCAGTTAGAATGGGCATAGAAAGATAAAGGGATCGGATTTTGCTGCCACAGGCAAAGGTCAAATGTCATTAGGTCATGTACATTTTTATGTGTACATGGTAGTGGAAAATCTCGTCTTACTACAATAACTTGAGAACCATGAAATAAAAAATTTTCAAACCAAATTTGGTTTAAATATTAATAAACATGATAAGACAATTTGATTCGATTTGGTATCAGAAGGTCAAAGGTTATAAAATCATGTACATGTGTAAGTGTAAAGTCGTCTGTTCACAGCCAGAAGGGCGTTAACTCTGCATTAAACAACTCAAGGAAACAATTTTAACCAACTTTGATGAAGTATTGGTGAAGTTTTTTTTACATGAAGCAATGTTTCATGAACCACAATGTACTTGGAAACAGTATTTGTCATCATGCGTAACAAAAACCCCAAAGAAGCAACATTTACCTTTATAACACTGTGACCGACAATCAATTTGCTTGGAACCATTTCATTTTTTTCCAATTTTGTAGCTTTGATCCTTTTTTTTTGATTTTTTCTAAAACACAGGGTAGTCAATTTGTAGTAGGAGTAGAATTTAATTCATTTATAACATCTGTCTGACTCTAAAGGTGTTTTGGGTACTGTCTTCAGTATTTTCTTTCTAGTACTATAATAAATGATATTTGGGTTAGTTAAGGTAATTTATTCTTCAGTGCTGTAGCAATGAATTGTTTTTTGTTATATGTGGTAGTCGTATAAATTTACTTGTTTTTATATTCCTATTGTTTTTAATAATTTAGAAAAGGATGGAGAAACTGATGGAGAAATTTATGATTTTTAAACTCTGAATCAGCATCAAATTTCTTAAAATAAAAACAAAAAATTTCTTGCCCAGAAGACAATCCTAAGATTTACATTTCTTATAGGGACCATAATGGTTACCTTTGAAAATGAATGGGGCAGAAATATTAAAGTTTGCAGATGGTTTATGAATGCAATGTAACAGCAATAACAATGTTGTTGCAACTACAAAACTGTTATTCTAAGACTGAATGATAACAGGTTAATTTGAGAGCCATGTCAGTGATATGTATTGTCTTCTTTGTATCAAATTTGTTTCACAGTTTCAGAGGAAAACTGATTATATATATATTCTGTAATAAATGATGGATAAATTATCACACAGATTCCCTTTGGAATATTTTGTAGATTGTGAGAGAAAATAGAGTTGTTTTCACATTTCAACATCCTTCATTGCTTTTCTTAATTAGAGAAGAGCAGAATCATTGAAATGCCCCTTAGATGAGTGAATTTAATCAATGCATAATTATAAGTTTGTTATGTTTTACCTGACTTCTAAAAGGCATATGCATGCTATTGAGTAAGCAACCAGAAGACAGATAACTTGAATTCCTCTCCAAGGGGACTTGGTAAAGAGGATTAATGCTTTTAACATATGGCATAAGTACATCGACTCGGTTTCGAATTTGGGACCTCCCTGTTACAAGACCACTGCTCCACCACTAAGCCATCCTCCATGTATTCAATAAAAAGTGAAGTTTGTAGACTAAAAGTAATCCTTGAAAAACTTTGCTCTTGAAAGTTGTGCATTTTCAAGAAATTCTGTATTTTAGGAGTCGTTGGTAGCTGTTAGAGTATCTGGCATTGTGGTAGATTCATTCTATTGAAAATGTCCCACAGAATATAAAATTCTCTCTGCATTGATAATTCTTCAAACATATATATTCTAAATGGGTTTATGGACCTGGTGAAACCATCTGGAAGATTAAAAGTATTCTAGATCAGAAGCTTTCAAAAACATTTAAAAAAAGAAAGATTAAATCTTTTAATTCCTCCAAATACAAAATATATGGGTATTGAAAATCGAACATAAAAACAATTTCATACATAATGGCTATGGTGCCATGAAATCCAGGAAAAAATAATGCTAAGCCCTACCAGAAAACTGCACCTGACTATAAATCATTAAAGAGGAACATTGTATGTAAGGGGGAATTATGTTTGACCCAGATTTTGTTTTGTCTTTGGGAATTTTTTTTTTTTTTTAAAGGAGATACAAAAAAGATTGGTTATTATTATACATGTAGTATGAACCCGTCTATATGCACGAAGGAGTGTATACATGTATTTGATATTTGACACCTGTTGGCTTGTTGATCTGTCTGCTGTGTTATGTTTGTTTGTTTTTGATCATATGTTTTTTTGTTCTGAGTTGTGTTAACCCTGAAGAGAGTTGATGTAGTGTACATAGTGACTGTGACATTTTTGCTTCGTTAAACAGACGATGTTTGCTGATGATAATGCATTAGCTCTGAAAAGAGCCTGTATTTCATAAGTTTAATACCCTAAACTTGTTGGTTTGTTAAATCAGTTATTAACTGGTTTGGCGTGAAGTTTGAAACCCTTAACCTCGAGAAACAGACTGAAACCATGTGTTAAGAGAACAAATTCCTCTTTCCACTTGTCCGCTCCTATCTTGTAGTTTTTCATTCAAGTCTTTCATGACAATGTAAAAAAAAAGCTATGTCACTGGTTGCCAGAATCATACTTTTTCTGATAAAGGGCACCCATCATTGTATTCCCGCCTACAAATACGCTAAAGCGAAAAAGTGCTCTTAGCCTACTAGCAGCCTTTTCACCCTTCTTCTCCTTCAATTACATGTTATGACCAAACACTGTGTTATATGTAATACCATTCCCAAATATTTCCTCTCCTTTCTCCAAGTAAACACCATTTTGAACTGCTTAATATGGAGTAAAACTCAGTTATGACATGTGTCCATTTACCTGCATTTTATCATATTATGAAAAATGTAATATACAATATAAAAAGTCTCATTTATCATTTCATTTTGACACCTTTGCATTAAAAAGCGAGCGCATTTTCCAAAATCTAACGCATCTTGACTTTCAACCAATCACATTCGTGTATTTACAACTTGCGTATGGGTTACATTTCGCCGCCAGCAAGATGACCCAATCAAAATAACTGACTCATTGGTTTTGATGCTGCAGAGATGTTGTCCCCCCCTTTTTTTTCTTCCAAAGGCATGATTTACCGTTTTAGATGAAAAATTTAAAGTTTGCTTTAGGCAAAGATCTATCCCAGTGTGCGTGTAAACATGAGTAATTTTCAAGGAATAGAATTCTCGTCTAGCGATGTTTTGGTTTGTTTGTACGAAACCGCACGAAAACAAAATAGTTAAGAATTTTTTTTAATGAAAGTCAAAATGATGTCAATCATGTTAATCGCATTTTTTTTCTTAGTTACCTCCATAGTCATAATAATTGAGATTTAGCGTCAAATCCGGTAAAAACAGAAACTGTTTATTGGTGGAATTCAAGAGTTTTGCTATTTACCAGTGGCTTAGTTTAGCTTTTATTACCTGAAAACGGTAAATACACAGGCAATGTTCTATTGTCTCAGCACACGAAACCTACCTTTTGTGCATTAGACGTGAATTCATCGAAAGTGATCCACTTCTCTAAGTTTGTTTTGAGCAATTAAATCTTTATTCGCAATCTAGATAGATCAATATTGACCGTGAGCAAATTCCAGCTGGTGATTTGCCCCAGTTACCCCCTCAAAGGGACCAGATGGAGAAATGCAATCTGTTGGAATATCCGTTTTACACCTCACGTCCTCAGTTGGAGGGTAGTGTTTTTTTTAAAGTGATAATCATTATTTGGTATCAAATAAGAGGAGTTCTTTTCACTTCCTGACTTCAGGAGGCTACTTTGACGTGACATATATATCTGATGGGGGCCTCTGACAGTTCTGGATTACTAAGGCTAGGCGATGATCTCCAGCCTCAATTATCCAGGGTTTAATAGGTGCCCCCATCTATCTCTGCCCCCTCTCTCTCTCTCCCTCTCTCTCCCTCTCTTTTTTGTCCTTATTTCCCCCTCTCCTTTATCTCTCTCCTCTCTTCTGTCTCTATCTTCTCGATTAGAAGAAGGATGCTGGTGTTGTCCCCCCTTCCCTTTCATTTCCTTTCCTTCAGAAGGCAATCGATTAGGGGAGGGATGTAGGAGAGGGTCAATCTTTCACTCCAGTTCTCGACCCCCCCCCCATTCTCCCTCCCTCCCGCTCTCCCTCTCCCCCCCCCCCCCTCTCTCTCTCTCTCTCTCTCTCTCTCCCCCCCTCTCTCTCTCTCTCCCCTCTCTCTCTCTCCCTCTCTCTCTCTCTCCCTCTCTCCCTCCACCCCTCTGCAAACAGAGCAAAGAGTATAATCACTCCATCTGAAAATGAGGATGTAACGTCAATGTTTAGTTGCAGGCAATAGCGTGTTCATTGTTATCTCTCAAATGAATTAGTGGAGCAGATGAAGCCCTGGAAAAAATATATGAAAGGATGCGTTTGGGCCATTTGATGTCATTAAACAGCACCACCTTATGATGTCACTGATCACGTGACTTGGTTGGCATGGTAATTGATTCCACAGAGGCATTAGCCTCTAGCCATAACTTTTTATAGACTGCATATCAAAATGAGTTTAATTTTTTTTAAATAGTTTTATATGTTTTTATGTCTTTTAATTTCTTTGTTTACGCGGGGAAAAAAAAATCGATGATAATAAGTATTGATAGTGCTCCAGTAATGGTGCTATTGCCCCTTGATTTGACTATTTCTTACGACTAAATTTTCAACCAGAATTTTACTGCTGCGGAGGGATAATCATGTAAGAAAGGATTACTTCTATTATTTTTTAAGCGGAAGTAAAACAGGATTTTATGTAATACAAACTTTGCACTAGTCTCGGGTTACTAATCTCGGGTTTCTTCTTCTCTTCTCTATCAATCCACCACTCTCTTTATCTCTCTCTCTCTCTCTCTCTCTCTCTCTTCCTCTCTCTCTCTCTCTCCCTCTTTTTCGCCGCCGTTGTAGTCTTTCCCTCTGTGTTGACGAGTGTGGGTACGAGTGGGCACCCTTCTCCCTTTTTCTTCTTTACCTCGCTTATAAAATTAATAGGAAAGAACGTAACACTCAAACGCCTCAGAGTATACCGAACTACTAAATGTCAGTATATAAGAAAATCACAATAAAATAAAAAAAAGTTTTTGCCATAATCTAATAGAATAGATAAAGTATGATTATGATTGTAATGATAAGCGATTATGATTTTGAAAAAAAAGGAATGATGATAGATGTCATGCTCATGAATACGTTGCCATTTCTGTTTAAAAAATAAATATTGTGAACAAAATGTGTTAAGACACGATAATGATTTCTTTGAAGACATTTATGGGGGAAACGGTTAATGATAAAGGAAACACTGCGCACTAGTTTTCATTGGAATATCTAGGTTACTGCTGTGGAATAATAGTATGCATGTATGTTTTTAGGCCTATAGAGAAGGTTTGGGTTGATTAAGGAAATTGTGAAAAAATTTGGAGCGTTTTCATTCTTTTTATGATAATGTGAAAAAATATCATCGAGAAGAAAAAGGTCCCCTCAGAAGGATCATGGTGGGCAACCGGGCATGGTGGCTCAGTTGTTAGAGCGCCCGCCTCATGAACGGGAGGTCGTGGGTTCGAACCCCGGCCGAGTCATACCAAAGACTTATAACAATGGGACCTTCTGCCTTCTAGCTAGGCGCTCAGCATATTAGATTGGAGAAGGGTAGTAATAACATATTATGTTATGCAGGGCCCGCTGGAAGAACAGTTTCATAACTGAAGTGGCTACCCTGGGTAAATAAAAGTTATTATTATTATTATTATTATTATTATTATTATTATTATTATTATTATTATTATTATTATTATTATATTATTATTATTATTATTATTAAGGATGTCTCTTAAAATATCCTCATATTCGACATTTAAAAAGAAATAACTAAAGCGTCTGGAACAATTTTTTTATGCCACATGTTTGTGTAATCCCACATACACATTGCTGCAACTTTTATAGCAACACTAAGTAAATTTCTTTTACTTTTGTATATATAATATACTACATGACCTTTTCCAAGCGCTTCCAGGCAGTTTCTTTCATTAAAAAAAACTTTTCTTAAACAAAAATGAAAAGCAGTACATTGTAAAACTTCATAAAAGATCGTTTGCATTCATTGGGCACAGATATTTATACAGATAATGTGCATGTCAAATTGATGCCTATTTCTTGTAGATATGTTACCATGAATATCGCAATTACTTACCC